GGGGAGGGAGGGGCCCAACCCTGACCCCAGCACTCGAGGGGCGGCCCCCCCAGTGCCCAGCACAGGGGCACGCTCCCTGCCCTGCTCCTGCTGGCCACACCACTCCTGATACAAGCCAGGGTGCCGCTGGCCCTCTTGGCCACCTGGGCACCCTGCTGGCTCCTCTCTAGCCCCGTCTTGACCAACCCCCCCAGGGCCTTTTCTGCCGGGCAGCTTTCCAGCCGCTCTGCCCCACGCCTGGAGCGCTGCCTGGGGTTGTGGTGGCCCCAGGGCAGGACCCAGCCCTTGGCCTTGTTGCCCCTCACCCAACTGGGCTGGGCCCATGGATCCAGCCTGGCCAGGTCCCTCTGCAGAGCCCCCCTTCCCCCAGCAGATCCACACTCCCACCCAACGTGGTGTCTGCAAACTTGCTGAGGGTGCACTTGGTAAGCAAGCCTCAAACTCACAAATCAAAACCGTTATGTAGCTTTTTCTCCCAAGACTTTCAGGATTACAGGCTCTCAAGAACCAACGGTGCTGCTGCTTGCTGTAAAGTCTCTATCGAATCAGGGGAAGGACGCGCTCCTCGGGTCTCTGTATCTTAACACCAGTAACGCTCAACAGTTATTGCGTGAATATTTCAGTGCAGCGCTCTGTTGAGAAGGGCTCCGTTAGGCTCCATGGTCTAAGTGAGAGCTGGAAAATTTACCTCAAGGTACAAAGAACAAACATAGTAGATAAAAGAAACACACATATATAACAGATGATGGCAAGAGAAAACTTCCAAATACTCTTCTGAATGAAATGACACCAACATCCAAGACGTTGTCTAAGATGAGGTCTAAGAGAAGGAGCCAAGTTAGCATCTGTTCCCATTCCGAAGAACGGCCATGCGGCACAGGGCAGGGGATCCATATAGGCCGAGGGCTCATCTCTGATAGCAGGAGGTGTTCAGGGAAGGGTATAAACCCAAATACGCTGTTATCAGCCTGTGATCACCCATATGCAATCGCCACCTACAAAAGGCACCTTTGAAAAGGACTTCTTCCGACGAGCGTGAAAGAACACCAGGAGCCAGAGTTAAACTCTTTATTTACTTTGAAACATCGCTTTAGATTTTCAGTTACAAAGTCCAGTCTAGCAAGAGCAAGCTGAAAGTATGTTAACGGTTCTTTATTACACAGCCCTTTCATGACACGCTAGATTGTTTGGTTTTACAAGGCACTGCAAGAACACACTGAGAAAAACAGAAGCCCCGACAGATTTAGAATTGTAGCTCCAAGAGTCCTGATAAGCATGAGATTGGCAACACCTGAGATACCCAGACAGACAACTGCTTTTGTCACCACAATTAACGAACGGAGGACCCGCGAGGCTGAGTGATGCTGTAACATGCAGGATGGAGTCCAAACAAAACACGTAACCTTACAGGAGAGACAGAATAACCTTCACAACCGAGTCAAGAGCGACAACCAAGTAGCAAATACTCTGGGTTTTTTTTTTCCTTCGTCAGGTCCAAGCGGGTGTCAGAAAACCTCGAGAACTCAATTCAGTGCAGTTTCTGAAGAGCATCCTCGGATAAAGGGGACACCGAACAAGGTCAGCAGTTTCTCCCAGTGCCGAAAGCCCAGTCTTCCCACCCACCTGATGTGCAAAGGGCTCATCTGTCCCCATCGCCATCACTCTGCTTTCCAAAAGCGAGCCCAGCACAGGACAAGGCACTCCCTGTTTAATCAAAGTAAACATTTGCGATTTAAGAAGCTGGTGCAATAGAAAACCTGAACGTGTATTTAAGTAGCACAGAGTTTTATTTAAGGGCAGTGTAAAGTTTCATTTCCTATGTTTAATTCCTATCTATGGGGAGGCATTTTCTTCTCTACTTCGTCTTAAAATCGATTGAGCAGAAGCGGATCTCAGGTTTCGATTCATACGATGAAGAATTAACAATATCCTCAGCTTTGGAGGCTTGGCAGAATATCACTTTCATCACGTAAGACACGAATCAGACATGAATACAATTTTTTTTTTTTTTTTTTTTTTTAAGAAAAAGTGCACTTCATACTGCAAACCATTAGGGTTTCTGGTGCAAAAATAACAAATCCATCTACGTCAAGATGTGTATTTATGGTATCAACTAGGGTTTGGGTTTTTTTTTTTTTACCCAAGCCAACAGATACGGTTTGAAAGAAAGCCTTCGCAACTCTGAAATTCCTCTCATTAGAATATTATCGGACAGCGTATTGAAGCAAAGGAGACAACGGGAAGGGAGCTCCTTTGTGAAAGTACGTACAAATTCATTGCCGACAATTTCATTATCTGTGCTGCGGGCTGAAAGCTGAAAATCATAATTAAACACACCCCACCCCCCACCCCCCAAGTGTACTTTCTACACGTAAATATACTGGTTTCCAGTCAGCTTCCAAACGCTACCACTCACTCTTAAAGCAGCTTCGTGTCCGAGCACCAGCCACGCGCTTAGAGCGTTACAAACACATGACGAGTTAAAAAAGATGTGCGAGTCTCAACGAGTTAGACCATGAGATAACGTGGTCAGGCCATAGTCGCTGCTTTAGTCCAGCGCTAGCTCCTGTGTTCACGGGGAATTACCAGTTCAGCTCATTTACACGGTTTTCCCGGTTTTGGTTTTACGAAGCTCTCCCTACCGCAACTCCTTTTACACATTTCATAAGGAAAGCCTGCATGCGAGGTCAACGAATCACGCGCTCGATCAAATGAAGATTATTTAAGAATTAGAAGAAACTTCAGTGGATTATAACTTTTTTAGCCTTTTCATTAACAAAAACACAAACACTGGGAGTCTGTGCTGTCCAGTCTGCAGGCCTGGAAGCTCTTGGGCTTTTATTCCAGGCATGGCACTGCGTGACAGTGGCCCGGAATAATCCCCTTTGCCAGCTGACTGAGGCACTAAAAGGTTAAATATTGCCTGCACAACCGGCAGGACAGTGAGAGACACAGCAGAGTCTGAATGCTACATCTAAGTGTGACTCTCTAGGTAAGTAAACACAAATAGTTTCCTACCCGACTTACCACAGTACGTGTAGTACAAACCCCATGGAGATAAAAATAATTTGATGTGTTAGATCACAGCCCTGGTTTGATGAGTCTGTTTTCCTGCTGCAGGCAGCAGGCAGGACCCGATGCATCAAGCTACGCTTTACAACACGGTGCTGCATGCGAACACCTTCTCAATTTCTACAAGGAGTCAGCCAGGAAGCATTTAATCTCAGATTTACACCAGACACCTCGCCTTTGAATTTCCTTCCTCGTTGGGGTGAAAGCAGAGCAACCGGTCAGTTTTCATGAAGTCTTAAACTTTTGAACACCCTCGGTCATGTCCTTCCTGGAAGGACTCTGGAAGCTCAGCAGTTCTTGGCTGCAGTCTCATGTCACAACCACACTCAACACCTCTAACCATCTTCATGACCTTTTCATCCTTTCCCACTACTACCGCATTTAGGAGGAAGCAATCGGGTTGGGGAATACTCCAGATAAGCGTGAACTGCTCTATATGGTCTTACAGATTTTTGATATCCTTTCCAAAAGCTGCCCCCAAAAGACAAAGAGCTGCTGTACAATGGGTGTTTACCTTCAACCAGACAATAGAATCATAGAATATCTCAAGTTGGAAGGGTCCCATAAGGAGTCTTTAAGGTAAAGAAACTTCCAAGCTCATAGTTTCTTTCTGCTGTGTTTTACAGAGTTGATTACCATGTTTAATTCAAAGGAAGTACCTCCCAAATCAGCGTTGCCAAATTATGAAGGAGTTTACGAGTATCTGGAGTTCCTCAAAATCCTCCGCAGCATTTAATAACTGAAACAATTAAATTGTCATCACCAAACTTCACCAGCACGTTCCTACTCTGAGCTGTTGGCAAGCAGATAAAATGACATCAGACCCAACACAGTGGAACCTCCCTATTTCTCTCTTCCACACAAAACATTCTCACCCCCGTTTCTCGTGAAGTGCATCCCCAGAGACAATTTTGCAGTCACAGGATTCTAAACCTCTACCAGCTTTTAAAATTTGTTAAATTGCAGGCACGGTAATTAACACTAAACCTGAACTTCCTACACTTACTCACTAGCACAACATTTTTTTTGTGGTTGGCAACAGGTCTCCCAGTCAGTGCAAATTAGCAAATTCTATGTATTGGTGATCTGGAAGAGAAAGCAGACAGCACGCGTTACACAAAACATCAGCTTTCTGAAGCTCTGCATCAGTTTGACATCGTATTTCCAAAGAAAATACGCACCTATGGGAAAGGCATAACGAATTCATGAATTTAACAAAAGCCTTTCAAAAAACCCAAAAGTATTTAATTTAGGTCAGATTAAATAGAATTAGTTTAATGCCATTTTTTTAAAGTTTCACTATACAAAATTTCTCTACCACCAAGACACCCTTTTACAAATACAATCTCTGAGGACTAATTCTCAAAAAACCCAAAAAAGATTATAAAATAAATTATGTTTTCTAAGAAACTGATCACATGGAAGCTTCACAAAAACAGATTACGAGGAAACGCACAGCTCGAAGTAATGCCCACAGCAAGGTATTTTCAAAAATGAGGTTTTTAATACTGACACGGAGGAGGTCAACCGCTGCAGTCCTTAGACAAACAGCAGCCACAGAAATTGGCTCGAGATTTTCCCCTTGAAGAGCGGAGAGCACCCAAGGAAGAATATCTACAGGTGTCGAACAGCCCATACCCCACGGGCTGAATAAACTAGCGTGGAAAGTCGTTCTCCCCGTGCATCTGCTGCTGTCTACCATCCCTACAGATGAATTTGGAGCCACTCCTGCTCAGCCACATCCGGGGGGGGATCTCCAAGGCTGCCCGCTCGCATGCTCAAAGGAAGCATAAACATTTGACAGACACAGACAGGTAGGGCACCTCTCACTCGGCGGCATTTATCGGCAGCGACCTGCCTCCGCACCACCCCTGCGGCTCTCCGAGCATGGCATCCATGGGCATCGCTGGTCCAACCAGCCCTTCCTACGGCCACTTCGATTCCATGGGCATTTTTTTGTTATCGCCTCACTAAACTGTTGATCTTCCACTCCCATTTTATTCACAACTACATTACACGTAAATTAAATAGCGTTACTGAAAATTACTTAAATCAATTGCTGAACCTAGCAGAATATGTGAATTACTCCTCTTTTAAAAATTTAGCAGCTAGGATACACTGATGACAAAAAATTCTTACCAGATAAAGGAATAAACCTACAAGATAAGTAGCTCAACTATTTGCAAAAATGTGTCAGATCACGAATATTTAAACAAAATATTAAATATAATAAATTACTAATCAGAAAGTCTGCCTGCCTGCTGACAATCTGACAAGTGCTACTTTGTATTTGAATGCAAAAGAGAACATTTAATTTGAAGGCAAACTCTTTTGATCAGGAAAGCCTGTAGAGGAAATACAGCAGTAATTTCCTCGGTAAACCAGAAGTTTCTCCAAACATCTTCTTACACAGGTCCCCTTAGCAAAGTTACTACGACTGCAGAAGTCTTCGTCCTCCCCCAAGGGTGACAAGGAGAAGTGGCATTTCCTTTGTCACTAGACTTCTACTGGAAAGCAGCAAGTCAATGGCAGCTCTCACTGAGAGATACTATAGCAGAATCATTCATAATTAGAAAAATTAAAATAATGGTATTTTAAAATGGTTCAAAATGTTGGGTTATATATATATATATAAATTTTTGTAAAAGTATTAGAATCAAATCACAGACCTCTTCATTTAAATGGCCCCTCAATGAGACCTACTGGTCATCGATTACAATTTTGTGTCTGTTCCCACTGTACCATCATCTGTCTTTCACTGGAGTCTGGTAATCTGGAAGCAAACCTACACATGCGACTAGCGTCAACCACTTTTAAAGTCCTGCTTAGAACCTGCATGTACACTTCCCCAAATTAATTCCTGGGAAAGTTCACACAAGAAGCAGCACTTTGTACCCTCCCATTGGGAGGGGGACACTAATAAACAGCCCCAAATACTCACTCTAAGCAAAACTCCTAGTTTTCAAATCATTGCCGCTGGTTTACAGACAGTGGGAATAGGCTTAAGGGTTTAGATTTGATTTGGCAGAACGTCTTCGAATCCGCACGTTTGCATATTTATGCCTATAATAAATCAAGGTGGCAATCTAGAATTTAAGTTAAACATTACTCTTCTAACCTTTAACAAGAATGAAAATTTCTAACTAAGGAAGTTATAAATTACTCAACCTTCACCTTAAAAATAACAGCTAGCACCAAGAGTCTAGGATAAAGATCTCCTGCAGAGAAAGTGGCCTTTAGCAAAGCTATTTAACCGCTAATGATTTGTTTTATACACATATGAAACAATGTGTTTTGTACAGGAGGTATATGGTTGGCTTGAATGAGGAAGGTGGCATCGAGAGTGTAATAAAAAAAGACATTTGGAAGTATTTGGCGCAAGTTAGACTCATAATGTGTACAAGGAGGAAAAAAAAAGCTATTTCCTGCTCCAAAACAAAAGGAACCCAAAACGCATCCCTTCTATCTGCAGCTACCAGTTAACCAGGACATTACAGAGGACCCTACGAATATTTGGACAATGCGGGGTGAGAAATAAAATATTTTTCCATTTCAGCAAAGCAATTTCAAAGATTCCTCATCTCCACCAAGTGCTGTTTTCCAACAGACAAACCCACACCATTCCAACTCTTTTCAGTCGTGCTTTTACATTATAAGCTATAATTTGGGCCAAAGAGGGAAAAAACCCCAAACCAAAATGAAAGCAAACCTTTCAACTTAAGAACCAGTCATTAGCAGACCAGGTTATCGATTCCCTGCACCTGAACGCCAAGCCCAGATGAGAATCTTTCCATCTGCACCGTATCAGACTGGTCAGTAGCTGCCACTTGGCCGACAGGTAAGATCTGGATAAAGCACAGCACACACACTTCAGAAATGAGTAGTTGCAGGTGTTTTCAAGAAGAGACTTTGAATCCTTTGTTGCCTAGGCTGAAATGCACACATTTGACAGAAGAAAAAAAAAAAAAGAAGTCAATTTCTAGAAGTGGAATTTTCCTTTTTTGAAGTCTCCAATTCTGGGTCCGTATGTTTCAGACCGTTTTCCCCAGTACTTCCGTAGCAGGGATAATTTTGGAAGTGCAATACTAGGATAACTTCTGCCCACTTTCAGTGTTCATGCTGACAATTGATTTTGTCTTCAGAATGCTCCAAAACATCAAGCATTTCTTCTATGATAGCCTGTAGTGCCCGACCCAGCTGTTCTGCGGTATATGGTCTTCCCAGCGGAGGCACATGAATAAAAGCTGACCTCCCGCGGCTCTGGTGTAAGGAAGCGTAGTAAGTGAAGTCGCAGAGGTACCTGAAACACAAGAATAGAGCTTATTTAGCAACAAGTGACAAATACGGAGGAACTGTATATTCTTATCATTGAGCATTGCAGCAACACCCTGCAATAAAGAGCAGAACGCAAGGCGGGTATTGTGAGTCTGTTTGATTGCTTTAATCAAATCTAGGGCAAAGACCTCTCTTTTTCCCCGGTGACTGGGTGACCACTGAAAAATAGATGGTATTGCCAGCCCCACGAGAAGTGAAAAGTGTACAAATCATACAGGTCTCATGAGTTGAGCACGAAGGAAACATGCATTGCAGTATGAGTCTATTTTCCCCATTGATCCCTGGCATCCCATACCTGCCGGCATCGATAGATGTAGTGACCATGACATCCAGCCCCAGTGCTGAGACTCTCTTGCAAACCGCATCCATGTCAATAACAGAATCGATGAAATCTGGGCCACCTTCTACGCAACACTGAGAGTCTGGGCAGAAATCGCAGTTGTCTAAGCCTTGATAACCGGCGTTATGGCCACACTGCTCCAGAGTTACAGTTGTGGCCATACCCGAAACACCTACGTGAACCAACAACTACAAGAGAAAAGAAACAAGTTAGATCAACCAAAATACAACCGGTGGAGAACCAACGGCCTGCTATTCCCAGTTAAAGACTGAGGGAGTTGTTACAGGAGTCCTTGCATGAATAGCACGGTGACAAGTCATTTTATCAATGAACTCGTGGGGCCAGTACAGAACAATTCTTCTTGTTTCACCCCCTCCTGGCCTAAATTGTAATTTACTCAGGGTAAAAATGAACGTTGGTGCGTTCACAGCCGAGCCCACCGCTGCGACAGCCCAGGTGGCACAGACAAACCGCAAGCTGTCTAGACAGCCCTTTGCAGTGGCCTCTTCACACCGACTGCTCCCATTAATTGGAGTGCTCTATTCTGAGCTATAAAATTCTACAAACTCACGTGTTCTCACGACAACAGAGGAAAAGATCTAGTGAGGGACTACCAGTCTGAACATACATTAAAAATGAGACTTTACATTACACTCATTGAATTAAGCATGACAGATTTCAACCATATGCCCTGTCTTTTCTCCTCCTCCCTTTACTCACTTGTGGATTGTGCTTTTTCCATAATGCAGGAATGAGCCTTTGCACCGCCTGGTATTCCACTGGGACTTCGTAGATGTGCAGATCCACGTCATCTCCCAGTCCTAGCTTCTTCAGCTCCTAAGAAGATAAGGAAATCAACAAAACCAAGATGGTGAGACACAAGCTCAGCAGAGGATATACTTCTGCAAGGTTTAAAGGCAGAGCGGGTCTGCTGTGAGGGACATCAGCTTACATTACAGGCTATATAACCTTGTGAACAGCACTGTAAAAAAAAAAAAAAAAAAACACACAAAACCAAACACCGTAATGGGGAACAACAAAGGCATCTCTCCACCTGCATTAACAGTCTTCACCCACAGGACCGTTTGTTTTGCTCTGATGTGTGTATAACAAAGAAATCAACATTTAACTGACAATAGTTATCAGCAACACCCACACTCCAAAGAAAGGTTGGCTGCGTTATTTATAGAGGTATACAGTTATATTCACTTCTTGAAAGAACTAGGTATGATGTAGAGAAAGTAGAATTGGGAAGATTATATTCATCATCTGATTTGTCCCCTCTCAGGACTGCTGGTCTGGAGAGCAAATTCACATTTCTTTCCAGGTCCAGAGCTGTCCGAGTTAGGTGACAGCACTACCAGGCTGGGATTCTGGGTCTGTGAGTCTCCGCAAATCCTAACAAACGCTCCCCGTATAAGGAACTGAAGCAACACTGGCACACACCCTCCTCAACATACTCATCTTACTTTTATTTTGGCAGAATCTGGAATACAACATGGCCTGTTTCCAAAATGTAAAACAGGTTTCCATCGCTAGCCTTACCTATACCTAACATGTTGTACTGAATTTTGCAACATGAGCTGTTACCATTGTAGTGATTCAACTAATGCAGTAAATTATTTCTCCCTCTAGAACGCTAACTAAAGCCATGCCTTGAAAACATCCCAAATATCCAGGCAATAAACTTAGCCAATTTCCTTTAAACCTTTTAAAACACAAAGTGTCTATTAAATACCTTGCAAAGACTTCTTTAAAACCAGGGGGAAGAGGAAAGTTCTTTTTATTTTTCTTTTCCCCCAGTATACCTGACTGGAAAGCACACTGTTTCATCCCAACACTGTGAGCTCCCTCTACCCACAGCCCATGGTCCTGGACACTTCTCCCTTGCTCTTCTTTGGTCTCTGTTTCAACACACTCCAGTCTCACCAGTAAGGCTTCAGTTCGAGGCTCATTTGGTACTTCAGACTGTTCCAGTCTAGCCCAGAACAGGACTTCCTCAGAAGTGAAACCTTTCAGAGCCATCAAACTGCCAAGAACTCAAGGAAAGGATACACCCACACAGCCCGAAGCCTCTGGAAAAAAAACGTTCATGAACGAAATCATCAGCTGAGCTCAAACCTAGGAGCCTTGTGCAAGCCTACACCAGCAGGCACTTTTCCAGTGACCAAAGTGACTTCCGCTATCGTGTTTAACGTTGGCATGTTTAATGAGTGCCAACAGCATCTAACTCTGATCAAGGTTCCATCTGATGAAGATGACGTTTATTGGCACTCTGAAACACTTTACAGCTGCTTCTCACGGCTGGTAAGTGACTGTACGAGCCATAAAGCTAACAGCCTTAGTCAAAGTCCCATTCCTCGCTCTCCTCTAGAAAGAAGCTGCAAGCGTGTCCTTCTCCCTGAAGACAAGGAAACGTGTACTCTTGCGTCTCTATCACCAGGCCTGTGTTTCAGCTAGAAGAACCAACTCTAGCTTTTCACAAGTTAATACACAGCAGAAGCTTGTTGTCTGGTGCTGCTCTTCTCCTCCGAGATACATGTCAGTTGAAAAATGCAAGCTTCCTCATGCCAAAGGCTTGAAATGATTACTTGTGCTAACATCAAAGGGGCTGCATGCACAGCAAGAAAATAACCTGCACCTCTCACATCCATAAGCCGCTGCTCATGGATCTGAGGTAGAAACAGCAATGTAAGAAGCCATTGAACTACCAAAGGACATTCCAAAGTATTCTTGAATTGATTAAGTTATCTCTATTTCAGATTTGGATTCAGTGATCAGAGCCAAGAGCTGCTCTTTCACGCAATTCTTAGGCTTTACTTTCCTGCACGCAGAGATTATACTTGCGAACTTCAGGATCAGGAGTGAAGTTTAGCTATTTTCAATGAAGCTTACTCAATTTCAAATCTGGTGTTTCCCTCGGTTTAAAATTGTTTCCCTCGGTTTAAAATTCTTTCAAATTAAAGAGAGCTGAAAGGAGAGGACGAGTTGAGGTTTTTGGACTCCCCTATAACAATCCTACCTCCCCTATATAACTGGGAACAGAACCTTGGCATCCTTTTTTTCTGTAGTTATCAGCATGGGTCGTTTCTTTACTGAGAAAAAGAAATAAAACCTTGCACACTTGTAGGGACAGACCACTGAGAGTGTAACAAGATTTAAGATAACTAAAACACGCAGCAAAGGCAAGAGTAAGACTTTCACGGACCAGCAGATATGAGCAACAACAATGATAAATCACTCGCTCTGGCTCTGAGGGCAAGTCTGATATTAAAGGCTTGCTGTATTGATTAGTGTCTGGCACACACAGACATTCATTACCAGAGATGGATGCTAAGTGATGTTTCATCACATCTTCTTTACACAAATCTGCCTTCAAAACGTTAGCTGGTTTATGTGGTGTGTTAATAAAGTAAGTAGTTTACAAATGAGAGTATTCAAATACAAGTCAGTCTCTTTAGGAAGATCTCCAGAGCATTAATTGGGAGGAATTCATCATCACTTCTTCTCTGAAGAGCGTGAAACAGCCCCTAAAGATGAATTTGATCGCGGAAAGTTTTACCGGCTGTGTGGAACGAGCATCTACAGCGAGCAAAAAACCTCGGCCCGTAGGAGCCGCACCGTCTCAGTGACAGCTACCTTCTCCAGAAGCAGGCACATTAAACCTTAGCTTTACAAATTCACAACTTTCTTTTAACCAAACCCCGCATTCACGCGCTTCCATTCAATAATAAAGATGTACGCTGGCCCCCAGACAACTTATTACCCGCAGCCTTGTATACCTGACAAATATAGAAAAACGAACATGTCTGACCGATTCCCTGACCCCTCAACAATGGTCGTCTTTGTGAGCCTTTAATATCCTTATCAGGTCTGTCTAGACACCCTGACAGCAATTGTCCTTCGTAATGTCAAAACGCACTCTGACCTCTCTCCTCCTCCTCAGCCAGAAGCACTTCAGGGGGATGAAGGCAGGAGCCCATTAGCTTCACAGTCCACAGGGCACACCTGTGTCTACACCTAAGTCACAGCGGGAAGGATGGAAAATGCACTAGACAGAAAGCCTGTTTCGGTAACTTCTTCTTGAAAGGAAGGTCCCTCCCAAGCAAAAATTGCAGCTGACAAAACTCCTCAAATGCAATATTAAAACGAGGAAAACACAGAACAGCAAATCCACATTAACACAAAACATTTTTGCTGTAGACCTTAAAGAAGAAAGTGGAAAGAAGTTATTCTTCACTCTGAATTTATAGGAAATCTCTCCCCCATGCGTAAAATTCTCCAAACGTTTCATCTTCGCATTATTAGATCGCTGCCACCGCTACTTAAGGCACCCACATGTAAAAATCGTTTAGCTTTCAAAACCAAACAGCTATACTAGAAACACTGCAGTCAGGGGGAAAAGGCACACCGTATCAGTGTTCTGGGTAAGAAGCCAAATAAAACCAAAAAGAGGACTGGAGAGAAAAGCAGAGAATTTTATCCTCGGGATGCAGGATAATAAAAGATGTAATAAACCAGAACTAGCTTAGCCCTAAAGCTAGGAAGGATTTAAAAAGATTGTTTAATTGATTTTTCTTCTATTAAAATGCAGATCACACCGTCTGGGATTCAGAAACTCAGACACGCCTTTGTGTCCACTCAGCTCCATGAAGTCCCCTGTCTGAAACTTGCACAATGCCCAACTCGCATGTGCTCAAAGACATGCTGTTCCTTTTTGTCTGGGCCTCTCAGGGCTGAGAAGGGTAAGGAAAGGCAAATCCTCCCCGCTGCCTGAAAGTTTATGTTTTTAGTTAGAAGCTAGCGCGAGCTGTTAAACAGGACTTGGAGGAAGATGGGCTCCAATGCGGCAGATTGCATGCCACCAACTCTAGTTTTATACTCTCAAAACACCCCCAAGCCCATAAAATGAATTTAAAATGCACGTGATTACTTCATCCATCAGCCACACAGCTGAGTGGCCATCGGTGCCTCGAGCTGCCGGGCTGAAGGAATGACACGCCATTTCTCTTTATAGGAATTATACATTAGGTTTGTTTTTGTAAGCAACATCAGAACACCCACCACTCTTCCTGTCCCAGAAGCACAATACCCTTTTGTCTGTCTCCTCTACAATAAAAGTAGCTTGTTTACAATAACTGACATTACACAAGTAAGGACAACCCAAATCAATTAGCCTCACCACTAAATTTCAGTAACATGCAAGGTTTTCTTCCACATACACAGCTTGCATTTTCCCCCAAACTTAAGCTGAGCAAACCCTAACTCAAACACATTCATTTCCAAAAGGCTCTTGGAGGCAAAGGTTCCATCTTCCCATACCAGCCAACACATTAGACAGCTGGACATTAGTTGACTGTAATTGATTAGAGTTTGTGATTTAATTTAAAAGCATTCTAAAGAAGATATTAATCTCAGAGCTCTGAAGGGAAGAGAAATGTGTTGGGGAGAAAAACAGATTTAATTCCCCGGGCAACTGTACTAAAAGGTACCCTTGAATTCCCAGTAGCTTTGTCATAAACCACATCCTGAAGCGACAAATCAGGAAGAAGCGGGATGATGTGGCAGCACCGTCCCTAGCTGATGTTTTTACAGCAAGCAACCTTAACTCCTTAGTTTAGCTGGCCATCTAGCAGGAGTTTGATTTCTTCTTCTTGCCTCATTTGTGAACATATCAGTGTTACAGAGGCGAATGTGCTCATGCAGATATGCAGCTACAAGTGGCACAAACTTGATTTGTTCAAGCGCGTCCGATCTGCTCGAGCAGCGATGCTCCAACAAGCACCCCTGTCTCCAGCAAGGTCCAGCTCTGTTCAGTCAAGCACCACTTGCTGCTGCATGCTCGACTCCACAAGACTACCAGGTGGAAGTCTCATTACAGATGAGACATGGCTTAAAGGTTACCCAAGTTGCCCGGATTCAAGCTAGAGCTGGGAGAAAAACATAAAAATTCTTCTTCTGGGTTTGTTTGTTTATTTATTTTGAATTCTCTATGGCAGAGGAAGATTCCAGGCCCCATTTAACATCTTTCAAGCCAAGGGAGTTAGCTTATGAATTCCTTACTTGCCTTAGCTACATTAACTCGATCTCATTAAATTCTGCTAGCTAAGGGATTGTTTTCCAAGAAGTGAATAAAACATTATCCAGCTGACCATCTGGATATCTGGAGCGAGCTGGGCTCAGTCAATAAACTGCGAAGACAAGTTATAAAAGAGCTGCAAACTAAAATTTGTACGGATATCTTATCAGCACGGCTTAGCATTACCTGAACTGCAATCCAACTGGCGTTAACAGAGTGCTCTCCAAATGGACCAAACCCTGGAAGAGAAGTAAAAATCCACAGTGATGAAGTCATCGTTACAGGTTTGACTAAACTTAAAGTTGCAAAGCAGTCTGCACCTTCCTGGTTTATATATCCTGGAAGAAAACCCCCTTCTTCTAATGCCCAATCCTTATTTACTTTACATCCAAGTACTAAATAAGAGACCTTCACAGAAGTATTTGAACTATACACCTTTTACTGTGAAGGAAAACAATAGCTTGCCTCAAAAAGAAACTCTTTTTTTTTTTTCCCCAGCAGACACTGGGGAAGCGTATTTTTTCCTTCCTGACCAGGTCAGAAAAGCTTGTTATTAACAGATAAGTTGACCGATGTCACGGAATGAGAATCATTATTGGATTTTCTATTCCTGATTGTTTTAGCCCACAGCAGATACTTCCACGAATGTGGACAAGCCTGCCTCGAATATTTTTTCTCTGCTCAGGTCTTCACCGAGATCTCTGTTCGGATTAGTTACGCCTTAGGAGGAAATAAAATGCTGCTGATGACCCACCTACACCAAGCAGCAAAGGTTATGATAGCACTATCAAAAATACTTAGTCACCACATTTAAATTTCCTAATGAATAACTTAAGAGTTAACTAGTAATCCATAACATCTTTTCCTGAGCAAGCACACAAAGGTTAGGCAATTTATCTGGGTGCAACGTCAATATGCTTTAATTTAAAATGTCAGAGTTACCTTATGAGCCTAATGCAATTAGGAGACATAAATTTTGTCTAACTCGTGAAAGGATTTGAGAGGGACTACAAATATTATATGACACGTTAATGGAAACATTCTATTTGCTATCAACAGTAAGTCTGAGGTTATACGGCACACGGCGACGTAAGGAATTGGCACAGCGTGGGCTCATCCACGCTGATGGATCTCTTACAATCTAACCAACGTCGATATCTCCCCAAAATAAATCTTCCGAAGGTTTCCACAAAATCAAAACGCGTGTTTTCCTGCAAGCAAACCTCCAATGTTACTAATCACCAATCTACGGCTGCCGCATGGGTAAACCCATCAAATAATCGAATGCCTTTTCAGTTGCTCCTGCAAGTCAGGGATGTCCTACACAGCTCTCTGGAAACAAACAACCGTGACCTGCTAGGTTTTACTCCTAAAGAAACTGAAATAGCCTTACAAAAGAAATTAAATAAATCTATTTCCTTTTAACAATTCAGCCACTGGAAGGCTGAAATTCTACAGGTGCCCACGCAGGTAACAGAGCCCTCTTACTCTGAAGCCAAACGCAAACTGGCACAAACGCAATTGTGGGGTATCGCTCCTCTGACTCATCCCCTACACAGATCCCTTGTGTTATCTCTTTCGCAGAAGATAAGCAACTTTATTGGCAGCAAACTCCACCAAGCATGCCCATGAGTTCCTCCACATCCACAATAGGGCCCTCCAAGGCTCATTAGCAGTAAACCAGCTGCAGAGAACTTTATGGGATTATCTCCTTAAAGAGTTCTAAAAAAGAAACTGCACACAAATAATACTTATCCTCAGCTAGCACACGCTCATAACTGAATGGGAACACAACGCCATTGCTAATTTTAAAAAGGAATTTAGCGTGACATCGATGACAGATTATCAATATGGGTAGACCTGACAAGATAACCACTGCATTTTAGAAACAGACTTCCCTGAAAACAGGCTGGGGGAAAAGAGAGAGGAAAAGTATTGCAAGCGGCAGAATATTTACTGACGCAAGTTTTCTGTTTAGTCACCGCCAAACGTGGCCGCTCAGCAATGGATACGGCTCTGGAAAAGCCAGAATTTGCCACCTGCTTCTTCGCTCTCCGCAACTGTTCCCTGCAAAGACACTTGCCTCCAATTAAAACCGCTCCAGCGCATCGACAACAACGAACCCCTCGCCCCCGCGCTCGCTATTCAAACGGCCTCAACTTCAGCTGCCGGGGGGAGACCTGAATAGTTTCACTGAGTTCCCCATTTGTCACAGAACTGCCTTCCCCACAAATCAAGCCAGTCGTCCTTTGTACCGCGGGGAAAGGAGCCTGACAAGCTCTTGCCTGCGACACCGGGGCCTTTCATTCCCTCACTTATTCTTCCCCGAGGCACTTCTGCCGGGCTGCATGGGTTATTTTGATAACAGCTTCAACACCTTGATTGCTCGGGATGGGGCGGTCGGTGAGCAAATGTTGTGTCCCCCACCCCTCCGCCATGCCCTGACTGCTTTTCCTGCTCCTTGGGAGATTCAGTCCCCTTCTTTCCCCAGCCAGCAAACCCTTGGGGCGGATCAGGGATGGG